CACACTCGGTAAGTAATCCTATAATTTTTTGTTTATAGCATAGTTTATACAGATTATTCCCAAAAAATTATACGTGTTTTGGAAATGTTGAGTGGAATTAGTCTAGAATCGGTTAATTTTATAGAAGAAAACCTTTCAAACAGCCTTAGTCCGTAAAGTTCACACCTATCGGGCTGCGATTGGCTCATGTATTTAATCATTCCTACAACGTAAATTTCGATTAACGTGGAATGTATCTAAGTGTTATAGGGGGATCTACTGTATAGATGAGTTTTCGAGCATATTATTTATGTTCATTATTCAATTTAAGTTGGATGCAACAACCAGAGGCTGGTGGGAGTGCTCACTTAAGGGTGATGATATTCCTCCATTAAATGACTTATTAGAATTTTTCAAGGGTCATGTTAGAACTGTACAGCCAACCAAAACACAGACTAATAAAAGATTCATGCCTAAGGTTACATCTCTCTCGTCTCAAACTAAGGGACAATGTGCATGCTGTAAGGGAGACCACGCTTTATACAAATGTGCTAAATTTCAGAAGCTTAAAGTACAGAACAGAATAGAGTTAGCAAAAAGGGAAGGTTTGTGTTTTAATTGTTTGTCGAAAAATCACAGGGTGAGAAATTGCACTGTCAATGTTTCTTGTTTAAACTGCAAGAGAAGACACAACTCACTCTTGTGTTATGGAAGGAAAAGAAATTCCATCTCTAAGGTAGACACCGAGTCAAATCCACAAACCAGCCTTCCATCCATGAATTCAAGTATAGCTATTCCTGAGATGACGAAAGAGACAATTTGTAAGTCGATTTGTGCCTCACATTGTGAAGGAGGGTCAAGTAAGAATGTAAACAACCAAGTTCTATTATGTACTGCTCAAATTAAGGTTTTAAATTCTAACAACGAATGGGTAGAATGTCGATGTTTATTGGACTCAGGAAGTCAGAGATCATTTATTTCTAAAGAGTGTGTGACAAAATTGGGATTAAATGTAAGAGACAGTACAATTTCAGTTTCATGTCTAGGTGCATTTACCACTATGAGCAATGGAGAGGTTAAATTGATATTCACTTCACATTTTAAAAGTGAACTGCGTGCGTCTACTTCTGCGTTTGTAATAGAAAGAGTCACAGAAAAGCTTCCATATGTTTCATTACCTTCAGAGATTTGCACTGAATTTAGTGATCTTATTTTGGCCGATCCTTTCTTTTATATTTCAAGGAACATAGATATCCTATTTGGCGTAAATCTATTTCTGTCATTAATCAATGGAAATTTAATTAAACGTAGCATGAGCTGTCCATTTACACTGAGTTCTAAATTGGGTTGGATTATCTCAGGCAAGGTGACCTTTGAATCCCATGAGCCCAACAGAGTTGTGGTGAACCATTCGTGTGTAAATACGGATGAGTTAGTGAGATCATTTTGGGAACTTGAAAATATTCCCTCATCTCGATTATTAAATACTGAGGAAAAGTTGTGTGAAATTCAGTTCAAGAAAAATGTTTGGAGAGATGATCACGGATGATATTATGTTGCATTACGCTTTTAACCCGATAGAAAGGTGTTAGGAAATTCTCGTGTTGCTGCCCTTAGAAGACTTTACAGTTTAGAAAGGAGATTCGCTACGATACCAGATATCTATAATCAGTACCGACAATTTATGCAGGAATATTTGTCGTTAGGACACATGGAGTTAATCTCACCTAATTGTAAAGACTTAGAAAATCAACATTATTATATCCCTCACCATTATATAATTTCAGAGATTAAAACCTATTTCAATTCCAAGGATGGAATTATGTGCAGCAGTTTTATTAGTTCATTTGGTGCAAGCAATACAAGGTGCATTTCAGATTAAAATTAATTCTATATTTGCATGGAGTGATTCAACCATAGTGCGTTCTTGGTTAAAGGCTAATCCTTCTAGGTGGCAAGTATTCGTCGCCAACAGAGTATCAGAGATACAATCCATTCTGCCTGCAGAAAATTGGAATCACATTGACAAAAACAAAAATCCTGCAGATTGTGCATTACGTGGACTCTTACCTTCAGAACTTGTAGAACATGACTTATGGTGGAATGGCCCAAAATGGCTGATGTCCAATGACATCCCATTTACCAAGAATATACCTATTTGTGAGGCAGCATTAAGGGAGGAGCGTAAACATGCTACTTGTAGTGTTAGCACAAACATAGAAGAGCTGCCTGTCATTAGTAAAATATCATCATTTGTAAAACTTCAGTGAATCATGGCATGGTGCCTAAGATTTATAACAAATGCAAAATTAACACCTCCTTATAGGACCTATGGGATCTTACAACCAAGGAATTAAGAGAAAAGGATGAATTAATCTGCATCATCAAAAATGTTCAAACAATAAGCTTTTCGGAAGAAATAAAGTGCATTCAGTCTGGGAAATCATTGCCAAAAAGTTCCAAAATACGCAATTTATGTCCATTTTTAGATAATGATAATATATTAAGAGTTGGAGGCAGATTGCAGAATGCCACCCTCAATTTTTATAACAAACATCCTGCAATACTGCCTACTAAACATTATTTGACTAAATGTATTTTAACCTATTTTCATAGGAAATATCTACATCTTACCAGACAGGCTTTATTGTATCAGGCTAAACCAGTTGTTTCTCAGCAACGTTTAGGTCAGCGTTCGGGGAACCGGGGTAAATTACCCCAAATGGGGTAAAAATGAAACTTTTGTGAGTAAAAAGTATATATTTTTAATTTGCTATTTTATAAACCTGTTAGTATTTTTTTCAACTTAAACAATTTAGCGACATATGCAGGCCACGCCATCTCACTCCCCACCACTAGAGTGTGCTCGAGTTATATCTTTGCGCAGTAAAGCACAGCCCCGGCTACCTGCTCAGTCCGTGCCATGCCGTCAAGATACAAATACATTGACGAGTCAGAGAGCGAGTTTTTACTAGTTAGTTGCTGACAAGACCACCATTTTATCATTAATCATCGATATATCGATCAAGATAAGCCACAATTTGAAAATTTAATTCAAGTATTTTACAACTATTATTTTCTGTCTCCCTTCAGATGGCAGCAAATAGAAAAAGAACATACCAAGACGAATTCCTTAATTACGGTTTTACACAAATAGAAGACAATGGTACAATGAAACCACAGTGTGTTGTATGTATGAAGGTACTGATTTCAGAATCTTTCAAAAAAAGTCAATTGAAGAAACATTTAGATAATTTGCATTCACACCTGTCTTCCAAACCGCGAGAATACTTTGCAAATTTTGAAATATTTGTTAAAAGACAAAGATTGAATAGCAACTTGTTTGGTACATTTGATCAGCGTTCAGCATCAAGGGCTAGCTTTGAAGTAGCCTGGTTGATTGCTCAAAATAAGAAACCATACACTATTGGTGAAGATTTGGTTAAACCAGCTGCTGTAAAAATGGCAGAGATTATGTGTGGTCAAAAAGAAGCGAAGAAACTAAATTCAGTGCCCTTGTCTGCGAGAATTGTGAAAGAACGAATTTCTATATTAGCAGAAAATGTGAAGGAACAGGTTATTTTCGCATTAAAACAGGCTAAATATTTTGCTATTCAGGTTGATGAGACAACTGATTTTAGTAGCAATTCACAGCTAATGGTATATGTTCGCTACAAAGGTGCAGATAATTTTGAAGAGGAATTGCTGTTTTGTTCTCCTCTCGAGTTGAGATCTCGTGGAATTGATGTCTACAATAAAGTAAATGAATACTTCAATGCGCAAAGTTTAAAATGGGAAAACTGTATTTCTGTNTCCCATAGACCGTCACACCAGGGTTTCCCAGGAGCTATACCCTCACAATGCAGTCAAGAAGAGCACATCTTGTCTGATGTGTCCGCCCGATCTGCATCGATCAGTTGACTCCAAACCGAGGTCTACAATGACTCAACAACCAGCCAATTGACTCAAACGGAGCCTGATTTGAGCCTCCCGTTTATCCGAAGCAAAGGCCAAAGCAGTGTGTTGGGGATGATGTGTTGCCCCTCAACTACCAGGATCCCCCTTTCCGGCATACGGGACACCACGCACGGCAAACACGTGGATGGGCATTCAGATCCCAGGGATGGTAAAGAAGAGTTACTAAACCATCTCTGGAAGGTCCCCTCACCACGGACAGGAACCCACATCGAGGGGATCAATGGCAGTGAATGTTCTTGTTGAGGCATGGAAGTATGTCACTTCTCCCATATTAAATAAATATAGTTGCTGATTGCCTATGAATCTTTCAATAACCCTGCCTCAACAGTTAATGTAAGGACTGCCCCACATAGGATTATGACCATTGAAATCACCTAGAAGAAAAAAGGGGGTCAGCAGCTGTTCAACCAAGTTATCCAATTCATCCTCATTGACTCTGACATCTGGTGGCAAGTATATAAAACAGAGTGTGACAGTTACTCCAATTGAAATTCTGACTGTCACAGCTTGCAAATCAGTGGTTATTTGTACCAGTAAGGATGGAATGCGATTTGAGACTAGTATAGCCACACTTCAACTAGCACAGTTGTGGCTAACATCGTCATTACGGTAAAGATTGAATCCTTTTAAAGAAATATTTTCTCCAAGTTATAGATGCATTTCCTGAAGTGCCATACAGAGAAATGAAATAGATGATGTCAAGTATTTAATGTCAGAGAAGTTGTTGCAGAAACCACAACAGTTCCATTGGATTATTTTGTAATCCATTATATGTTTGAGGCAGCATTCTTTGTGAAGGTATCCCTCATTAGTTTTACAGCTGATTTGCCTTTTAGAGATGAGGTTGGCCTCACCTCCAAAAGGCAAATCAGCTCATTATTGGTGTCATTTCATTATTAGTCTCTTCATCAGAGAAGTCAGAGAACTCACTGATAGACTGAGCCTCTGATTTTTTAGGGTTAGAAAGAGATGCTTTCACTCTCTGTTTGTTTAGTGGGTTCTTACTTGCCTTTTTAGAACTCACATTTTTTGTTATTACCCCTGTTTTAGGTAGGGGTGTTTTTATCTACTTGCTCTCCTTTTCTGCTGTTTGGGTAAATGGTATCAGCAAACATTTTGCATGGCGAGTTAGAAATTCATTTGGTGACACAGAAATATCTGTTCGAATCCCACCTGTCTTAGTGGATTTCAGAACAGTGGCAAATGTCTTCTGTTTCAGTGGTGCACTTTAAAGTGACCATGTGACATGCCTCCAGGTAAGGTATATTTATTCACCACCTTCATCCACTGAATCTCTTTCTCTCTTTGCCATATAGGACATTTTCGGGAGTAGGCAAGATGGGTGTCTTTGCAGTTTACGCAGTTTTGCAGTATGGAGTAGTTGTACATTCAGTACTCTTGTGATCTTTTCCACACTGAGCGCATGCACTTCTTTCTTGATAAGATGTCTGTGAATGTCCAAACCACTGGCATTTAAAGCAACGCAGCAGATTTGGAATGTACAGACAAACTGGACAGTGCAGATATCCTGCAGTACAAATGATGGCAATGTCGTCTTTCCAAAGGTGAGAATGAGATGTTTAGTTGGTATCATCTTGCCATCTCGACGAATAGAGGTTCATCAGACAGCATTGACACCTTGATATCAAAGACTGATTTGGATATCTGATTCATCTACAGACATCAGATCAATTTCAGATATCATACCACATGATGAGTTCAAACTTCCATATGGTGTCACTGTGACTTCAATTTCTCCCAGGTTGTTTGCAGCTAAAAGATTTGCCAACTGTTGAGGAGAGGCAGTTTCTACCAGTAGGTCCCCTGACCTCAATTTCTGTGTTTTCTTCAGGTGCCCAATTGTTAATTCAAATAACTTCTGAATCAAAAAAGGAGAACATTTTGACAAAGGTTTTTTCCAGTAGCATGCGCTATCAAGTAGGATGGCTGATTGGCAATGTGTTTTCATTGGTGTTTTTTGGTTTGTCTGTGTTTTTTGAAGTTTTAGGATCCATGATTGAGAAGTAATATTTCAGCTCCTAGTGACCCCACTCACCATGGAGCCCAACAAGAAAATGCCGTCACATGGGAGACTACCACAGACTGTCAGACCAGGGTTTCCCAGGAGCTATACCCTCACAATGCAGTCAAGAAGAGCACATCTTGACTGACATGTTCACCCGGTCTGCATCGATCAGTTGACTCCAGGCCGAGGTCAAGAATGACTCAACGACCAGCCGATTGACTCAAACGGAGCCTCCCGTTTATCCGAAGCAGGGGCCAAAGCAGTGTTAAGGACATTATGTTGCCCCTCAACTACCAGGATTCCCTTTTCTGACATACGGGACACCACGGCAAACACGTGGGTGGGTATTCAGATCCCAGGGATGGTAAAGAAGAATTACTAAACGATCTCTGGGAAGTCTTCTTACCATGGACAAAAACCCACATCAAGGGGAGAATATTTTATACCTGGTATGTACTGTACAGTACATCCACCATACATTTTAGTTCACCAATCAAGTTTTTATTATTTTATTTTTAATCATAGCCCTTATATCATGGCTAACGATTCAAAATGTAATTGTGATATTAAAAATAGATTTAAAGAAGTGTGCAATTTTTACTGGCCTATCCAACAATCAATACAAATGTACCCTAGACTAGCAGTTGGAAACCATTCTCACCTCATCTATACTAATATTATAAAGAGGTAATGTTTGTATGTAAGTTTGTTTGCAGCAGGTAATCTCCGAAATTACTCATCCGATTTCGAAAATTCTTTCACCAATATTTAGAAAGAAACTTCAGGGTAGACATATGCTGTATATTATTTCGTTAAACATTCATATAAATTAAATTATATCATCTAGGGTTAAGACTTTTATGTCCAACAGATGGCGCTACGAGTATGATGCCCAAGTTTGCTTTTCTGTGAGGCATTATGCTTTTCTGTGAAAATGAACTAGAGCGAATCATCTTCTATCTATTTATATAAATAAAAATGTAATGTTTGTTTGTTCCTACCGATTCCTTTGAAATTTTGACACAACGCTGCATTTGAATACGCACGTGTTTTTATGTAATATATATGTTGAAATCCCTCCCAGGAGATGGACGGGATTAAGGCTTACCGTAAAGAACTCTGCATTTATTTATACTATTTTAGATGCAGGTTTTTGCGTTTTTGATTGCGTTTTAATAGGGTACGTCAAGAGAATGTACACTAAGAAAAAATTTTTCGAAAAATTCCCCCCAACAGGGGAAGTGTTATAAATTTATAATAGATACATTTTGAGCGACAACAATGCATGGCGGGATCTGCTAGTTGTTTTATAAACAATCTCTGGGCAGAGTTGACAAGGAGGTATCAGATGGAAACCTCGAATCAGACCTTTTCCATGACATAAAGAGGTTTCGTCGTGAACCTGAAGACAAGGGAGAGACCAATCAGAGAAAGAGAAAAAAAAATGAGAAACTAATCAAAAGTACAGAAGACGGAAGGAAACATATAAAACCTGGGACTTCAAAATTGAAAAGATTCTCTCTGACAGTCCCATCTAACCGCTCTCTAAATATAGTTCCATGTGCTAGTGTGAGGAATTTGTGCCACCTCGAACGCCGCAGCAAATCTCATCCTGTCAACATCACCCAAGGACTTAGACTCTCACACCCTGGGGCCTCTACAGACGAAAGGCCGAGGGAGTTGATCTATAAACCTGATGTAAGCTATGAATGTTTCCAAAATAAACGGTTTTAAATTGTAAAACACTTGACTTCATTTGCCTCCTTCGCCACAGCCCTCATATGTGAGAGATTGAACCCCTTCCTGTTTGTTGGCAATCTTGTCGGCAAACAACACTTGCTGGTGGAATTTTGAGTACTAATTCTCCACCAGGTCAGATATCATACATGAGTAAAATACTTTAAAGTAAAGGTTCCTCACTATATTTTTATTATTTTAAAACCGATTAAAACTAAATAATTACTTGTAATAAACAATAATTAAAACTTTTTCAAGAATACTGTCAGTAAATATTTGACAGTGTGTATCGGTTATGAACAACAAGATTCTCATGAATTTCTTATAGCATTTGTTAAGTTCAGTGTAACATGTGTGAGACATGTGTCAGGTCTGTGGATGTCAGCAAGAGGTGATGGACAGTCCACAGCTTGGTCACACATGTCAGGTGGGTGAGGTAACAGTATCCCCAAGAATGTGGGGGAGATTGTCCCGCCTAGAGAGGGAAAATTTGTGCCCTGCCCTTGGTGTGTGTAGAGTCAGAGTGTGTGTGGAGGCAGTACTGAGAGGAGTGCTGACCGGGGAGCTAACCAGAGTGGGTAGCTGTGTGGCTGGTCAGGAACCAGTGTTGTAGTTATCAAATTAATTACCTCTTTCTAACCTGTTACCGGTGTGTCTACTAACTCTTAACGATCCAAAACGAATCAAAACTAACGTTTTCGAACCCTTAACCGGTTCTTCTTCAGGTTTTTTTCGAATCTCTGATGGAAAATGCAGCTCGTAAAAACTTTAAATTCGAAATATGTAAGTTCGAATGCACGTTTCCCGTTTCCGTCGTTGTATGTCATGCGCAGTCGACTCCAAACGGGCTATCATAAATTACTATTCATAAACGCTAGCCACGCTGTTGATAACGTAATCTCTTCTTTATAATTGATGCATTGATTATCCTTAAGGTTAGCCAAATATATGCTGGCCGCCTCTAGCCATCTGATATGGTGTACGTGCCGTGCGGTGCGGATAATTCTTGCTTTCTTAA